TTTTTTTTTTTTTTTTTTTTTACTGTTACCTGAGTATAAAACAAGTCAATTCTCTCTAATGGTGGAAAACCCCACAGAATTAACTTACCTAAGAGGAAACGGCGAGACTGGTTGAAAGACTTTGAAAAGGAAACGGGCCCGCCAGAGCATGACCTGGACGCAGCCAGTGAAGCTTCCTCGGAACCAGACTATAACTATGAATTTGCACAGATGGAGGTTATCATGAAAACGCTGAACAGCAATGGTAAGACCTTCCCTCCGATTCCTCCGTCTTGGGCAGCTCCTATCCCTTGAGGGATGTGCTTGCATAAAGTATCACTCTGAAACTTAGATACATAAAATTGCTAATTTCTTACAGAGGCCCCTGGAGAGGGGCTCGTGAAACATCGCATGGCCTGATCTGCTCCCTCAAGTGTAACCAAGGGGTGGGTAGTCCCTTTTTTGAGCCCCTTGTTTCCAAGCCAGTTGTGGTAACATTTCCAAGGTCATAGAGTCCGGAAGGACTATGGTGGCATTCCTTTTCAAATTCCCCTTACTGGGCTTGTCATTTCTGAATCTTTCAGAGCACAAAAGTCCCCAGCAGGGCATGAACCCAGGAATTTCCAATGGAATGTAATGGGTAAATAAAAGTCATGATATTTTGCTGTAAATCCAGTTGGAAATTATACCATCAAAGAGGCTTACATAGCAAGCCCGGGTAGCTTTTACAAAAATGATAGCCACGGGCTTTATAGGCTCTTTGCTTGACCTGCACACTGGCTTGTCTCAGACCTTTAAGGAAGAGATTTCCTTAAAGCATCATTTCTAGATCCCTTGATCCAGAAAGTTTTCAATGTTTGTTTTAAAATTCTTCTCTGTATCTAAAAGGAAATCCTTTACCTCTTCATAAACACTTAACGTGCATTCAGTAAAATCCATATCACATTCTGTCTTGATGGCTGTTTTATAAATGTGCCCCTTCGTTTTCCATCTCTCGGTCTTCTCATCTCCAGGCTTGTGCCTGGAAACTAGAAACAGGACAGCAAAGTTCTTCTGTTACCAGGTACAAGGCAGCATTTCTCGGACCAGAACTGTGTGACAACAAGTATAGCTGAGGCTACATTCAGGAGCCCCTGAGATGAGAAAGTCCGATCTCGCTGTCCCATTCAGCTGTTCTTTGAGTACCTAAGGATCATCCCCAACTTGAACCAGGGAGGACCTCCAGGAGCCTCTGCTGGCCATGGTGCAGGGAGAGCATTGTTTTCTCAGTCGGGCTCTCCCTTGAAAATGTTGACTTTTGCCCTCTATCTTTGAACCAGCCTATCTAGAAGAATGTGAGCATGGCTGGAGAAAGTCGGTCAGATCTCTGGCTTCTCAAATTGGGGATTCTGTTGCAGGAATAAAGACTCTGACCGTTTTATCTCTGGATTTTTAGCCCCAAGGACTCCCTCTTTTCAATTATAGAAATGAAGCCTGAAGAAAAGGCTAGATGGAGAAACAAGTGTGATGCATTCATATGAAGAATATAGAACAACCCCAGAAAAGAACATCAGTGAGACTGGAGAAACAGATTAGCTGCTGGGGCTTTGGACGCTGCACCCCAGGGTGCACCATAGCTAGGGGTCAGTCTACTCTGCTACTTACTTGCCCAGTTGGGGGGAATCCCAAAAGACATTCCAAAGTGATGTTGAGACACCAGCATCACATTGATGGCCCATTTTACAACATGCCTGAGCAACAAGTCTCCTGTAATTTTTGGAAGCCCCAGTGGATACAGGGTGTGACAGGAGGGTGTGGGCTCCACTCCAGGTGCAGGAACACCCATTGGAAGAGCCTTATTTCTCTACATGAGATTACAGAATTCCAGATGATGTCTCTGTTCTCTAACTGCAGAGTATCCTGGGGGTAGCAGTGGAATCCTCTGTTGTCCCACATCGTAGATTTCTAATTTTATTCAATCACTACCTTCCTATCATATTTATAGTAAACCCCTGAATAACAGATGAGTATTTAGTAAGTATTTGTTAATTCCTCCAATCCTCTTAGCGAAACCAATTAGTCACCAGTGACCTGCCTCATGGTATTAACATGAGTTATCCATTTGTATTCAGATCAAGCCTTGTTCTCCAGTGTTGATTTTATCTACTTAAAAATAGTGTTTCCCCCTCCCCACACTTCACCCAATTCCACGGGTAAGGGGAGCTTGCCTATGGGGCACACAGGACGAGCCCTGACTCAGTGCTGAAATGCTGATGGCCCAATGGTATTCACGCAATTCACCTCTACCGCTAGGTGGTTTCCCGATGATAAGCCTGTCTGCCTGGTGGTCGTCCCCCTGGTGGTCGTATTTGAAGATTCTCTTCCCTCTCATGTGGTTTCAGACGAAGCTCCTTCACAAACACTGGGAAAGAGGTTTTCACTGATTGTTGACGTTAGCATGGGGGAGCTTGACCGGGTTTTAGCAGTGCTGCTGACTGATGCGTGTGCTACCTGCTTTGGCAAGACTCCAACTAACACGATTGGGAAGAAGCTGAAGTTTTTTGCCTGACAGAAGCACTCTGAGGCATTCCTGACTGAGGAATGTGTCTTTTTAACCTGCGACCCCTTCCTCCCCAGGTCCCAACTCCATTGCCTTCCCATTGGTTAAAATCTAGTAGCCATTCTGTCCCTTATACATCCAACAGCACAAAAGTGCGATTGGTATCACTGGTACGATGACTAATGTCTTTATGACTGTTGACAGCAGAGCTGTTCAGGACATTGTACTTGCGGGTGGAGATTTACCTGCATTAAGCGTAGAATGATGTATTTTCAAATTTCTAAAATAAATAATGACCTAAAACACAATTCATTGGAATTAAGAGTAGAAGCAAACCTCGTATCTGTGGACAATAATGGGTTCTTCCCCAGGGTTCAGAATAAGAATCAGGCACTCATCTGTCTTCACAGAGTCAATGGTAGCTCTAAAGTAAAGAGCAGTGAAGGGGCTGGTGAAGAGTCATTGAATTTATTCCATCTGGGATTAAAAGGTTAGTTTTTGTTTCTTGGGAGCTTTTTCCCCCAAAGGATCTACTTCCCTTCAATTTAGTGCATTGGGCATCTTGGTGTGAATGAATACCATCTATCACATAAATGCCTTCCAGCCTCTAACTATTGACACCCTCTCTTTTCCGTTCTTGGGACAGATAAATAAGTTTGAACACATTACATAGTTAACATACCAGGTAAAGAATAAACTAATGAAGAAGAGAGAACATGCTATGCCATAATAAATGCTATCATTTGTCTCTTCCTAAAACACCCACCTCTTTGGTATCATGGCCTTAGGCACCAGGCTCCCTGAGTTTTAAAACCCTTCATTCAAGAGAAAGAAAATGATAAGGGATAAAATAAAACTGTAGGCAATGTTTTGATGGTTGATTGCTTGGTTGAGAATAGGCCAAGTAGTCTTTGGCTTCTGTCCTAGGCCATATCATAGAGTCAGGTTGACTTGCTGATTAGGATAATCTATTTTAAAAATATGCTGTATAGTGATAAAGGCTTGAAACTGGTTAATTAATTTGAAAAGATGATGTTATCGAATATGTCTAAGAGAAAGGTATTTCCAGACTTGGGTTGAGGTCAGAGGTTTAAAAAAGAAAAGGTAGACAGACAGAAACATCAGCTCCTGTATCTCTGCCCTGGCCCTGGATAGCATGGCCTGTCCCAGAGTCGTGGGGCAGGCCTTCCTGGGGATAGATGCTTTGAGTTGCTCTCTCTTCTGTATCTCCTGGTTGGTTTGTGGCCAGTGATGAAGCCTGGTGAATAGTAGGGTGTTACGTCATGGCAGCTGATAAAGCAGTTTAAAGCAACCTTGGTCACATGGCCCCTTCATTAGCACAGGACCTCAAGGGGAGATCCCCTCCACTTCTGCCATTTGGGACCATGTATATTTCTACACATCTCTGACTAACAAGGAGAAATGAGGATTAAATGTCTTATCTAGTGTCTTTTAGCAAAAATCCTAGAATGTTCTAAAACATTGTGTTTTCCAGTGTTCTGTCTCTAGAAAAGATTCATAGACACTAAGGTAGGGCTCTTGGAAATCAGGCTCCATGTAAGTATAAATGAATGGCAAGGACCTTGTCCTTCCTTTTTAAACCTAGAGCCTGAAAGAGAAAAAACATGTACTGTTTGAGAAATGCATGGGGCGCCTGGGTGGCTCAGTCGGTTAAGCGGCGACTTCGGCTCAGGTCATGATCTCGCGGTCCGGGAGTTCGAGCCCCGCGTTGGGCTCTGTGCTGACAGCTCAGAGCCTGGAGCCTGTTTCGGATTCTGTGTCTCCCTCTCTCTGACCCTCCCCTGTTCATGCTCTGTCTCTCCCTGTCTCAAAAATAAATAAAACGTTAAAAAAAATTAAAAAAAAAAAAAAAAGAGAAATGCATTTATTAAAAATTCTGGGGAACTTTTCTTTTCTAACCCTTACATTTAAACCTTCTTCAGACTTCTTCTTTACCATACTATTCATGTGTTTTTAATAAATTACAGGACTAGGTCAGAAGTTCAGATGCTTTGGAATACGTAGATATTCTACTCTATGGAAAAGGTCTTCCCTTTCCATGGTCTGTCTTTGTTTAAGAGTTTGGTATTTTGGGGAGCACCTGGGTGGCTCAGTCAGTTGAGTCTGTGACTTTGGCTTATGTTGTGATCTCTCAGTTTGTGAGTTCGAGCCCTGCGTCAGGCCCTCTGCTGTCGGCACAGAGCCCAGTTCAGATCCTCTGTCCCCCTCTCTCTGCCCCTCCTCTGCCCCCTCAAAAAACAAATATTAAAAAAAAGAAAGAGTGTCGTATTTTTAAGAGTTCATTTTCCATCAGATTTTCAAGTGATGTATTTTAGGGACCCCATATCAGGACTCTTGAAGAAAATTATTCTACTCTGAAAAAATGCCGAATTTTAGAATTTTATATAAGCAAAGAACAGTATTTTTTTTTAATATCTACTCTTAAACAGAGTACAAGTTCTGAGCAAAACATTGGAGATAAGAATACTGTATCAGTCAATTACTAACTTGATGTCCTCCTCCCAGATAGTTCGCTCTGCTCTGAGTCCAAAACCTGGCTCTGTTGCTCATTAGCTCTGTGATCTTAGGTCAGCATCTTTAAAATGGGAATGCTATCCACCCTTAGTTTGTTGCAAGGCGTTTACAAGATGATGCATGTAAAGGGCATATGCCTCTCCCTGAGTTGTAGCTGGTAGCTAGCAGAGTTATTATTGCCATGTGGTTGTTATTTTTATTAAAACAACTCACCTGTGCTCTGTATAGCTAGTGATTTTTTTAATTGCTTTCTACTTTTTGTTTTATATAACTTAACCTTATTTGTTAAGCTAAAATCTTACTGTTCATATAGAAAATTAGTATAACTTACATGTTTATTTCACAAATTGATAGATAGAGTCTTCTGGAAAAGTCCATCAGTAGCCATCATTGGGTGGTATTTTTATACCCTCTTGTTATCCTCATTTCCCACTCTTAACCTTGGAAGTTAAACTGAGAGTCAAGAAGTGGGAATATAACATGAATGTCACAATTTGAATGACAGGCAAGGGTATGAACTCCAGGCCAGTCTGGGAATAGGAACACATCTACTCCACATCTCGTGTACTTGAAGGACATACTCACCGTGTTGGTGGTTTTCTTACTTGCCATCCAGATAGTCTGACCTGTTGTTTCCCTAGAGTCCACTCACTTAGAGACTCCCATAACTTTCTCCTTTGGACATATGGTCAGTGCCTTCATCTTTCTCCACAGCATCTAGGTCAGTGGTCATTACCAAGCTAATGTCCTGCCACAGCCAGGGATCCCTACCTACACTACAGCCACCGCTACCCATGGTCGTGGACTTTGAACAACGTATATCTATCTATAATTATTCACCACGTGTATGTTGCTGATCTCTCGATCTGCAAAAACAGAAAGTAAAAAAGAGCCTTTGAGTTTTGCGAGTGAACTCCCCCTCCCCTCCCCCTTCTTTCTCCTTTTCTTTTCTTTTTTGGAGGTGAATTGCCTTCTTGAATATCAGCACCTGAGAAATGGCCAGACCATATACTCAATATTTTCAAACACGTTCAACGATCTACAAGATCCGCCCCCTCCCGCCACATTATAGAAATTCAGGAGTCATAAGATTTGTGGTTAGAATCAGAACTAAATGGGCATAGAAATGGACTATCATAAAAATGAAATCCTGTGTGGCTCTCTCTTGGAAGCTGTCTCAGGTTTCATGAAATTTTTCTCAGTGGGTCGAAGCCCATTCCCTCTACTACCTGTTTAGAGTGGATTAATGATCCATGTAAACGTGAGCTCATCAAATTGAAGAAACGCAGTAGATGTGGGGAATGTTTACACGCAGGACATTTATCTGAAATGTTAATTAAAAGGTGGGTGGGAGGATGCCCCTCAGGCCGCTCCGAGAAGGCATCTGCAAAGACTAGCTTCCGAGCCAGGAGATGGTTCCTGCCTGAAGAGGCACGTGGCGGGCTACCCTGTCGTAGCCACCCCCGAAGACACCTTGCCTTGTCTCTCGGCTCACCAGATCCAGTGCAAAATGTGGTTCAGGTCCTGGAGAAACAGTACCTGGAAGAAAAGCGGAGCGCCCTGGAGGAGCAGCGGCTCATGTACGAGCGGGAGCTGGAGCGGCTCCGCCAGCAACTGTCCCCGGAGCGCCAGCCCCAGAGCAGCGGCCCTGACCGCCTGGCCTACAGCAACCAGACAGCTCAGCAGAAGGTGACCCAGTGGGCAGAGGAGAGGTAAGAATGGGACCCCGGTGACCCAGAGGCCCGGCTCCAGGGCCTTGGAGCTTTGGGCGAGGCATGTGAAGGTGAGGACAGACCTAAGCAAGGAAGGAAGTCTTAGTCCTGTGTCTGGTCATTAGCAATCGCCTTTTCCTGTCAGAGATTCTGTCCATCCCCAGTATGCTTACTGGGATGTTAGTCATTAAAGACCATCCCTCCCCCCTTACCCTTCGATAAAAATGGCACCAGGTGGGGCGCCTGGGTGGCGCAGTCGGTTAAGCATCCGACTTCAGCCAGGTCACGATCTCGCGGTCCGTGAGTTCGAGCCCCGCGTCGGGCTCTGGGCGGATGGCTCAGAGCCTGGAGCCTGTTTCCGATTCTGTGTCTCCCTCTCTCTCTGCCCCTCCCCCGTTCATGCTCCATCTCTCTCTGTCCCAAAAATCAATAAAAACGTTGAAAAAAAAAATGGCACCAGGTTACAGTATCATTGTTGTGGGGCTCCTGGGTGGCTCAGTCAGTTAAGCGTCCAACTCTTGATTTTGGCTCAGGTCACCATCTCCTGGTTCATGGGTTCGAGCCCCCCATCAGGCTCCTCACTGACAATACAGAGCCTGCTTGGGATTCTCTCTCTCTCCCTCTGTCTCTGCCCCTCTCCGCTTGCACTCCTTCTCTCTCTCAAAATAAATAAGTACAACTTAAAAAAATATATAAGTATTAAAAAAAAAAAGAATACCGTTGTTAGATATTGAAATAAAGTTGGGATTGTTCTTTAGCATAAAACCGTTTCTTATTTTAAATTTCCCTTACTTTGGAGTCTCTTTAAATACAACTATGATATTAAGAAATCTAAATGTGAATTTTCAAAATTTGTGACTTAAAAAAATTTATATCAGGGGCACCTGAGTGGCTCAGTCAGTTGAACATCTGACTTCAGCCTAGGTCATGATCTCGTGGTTCGTGGGTTTGAGCCCACGACAGCTCAGAGCCTGGAGCCTGCTTCAGGCTCTCTCTGCCCCTTTCTCTGCCCCTCCCCTGCTTGCGCTCTGTTTCTGTCTCTCAAAAATAAATAAACATTAAAAAATGCTTTTAAATAAAAAAAATATTTATCTCGGAACTGAGGTAGTGGTGGAGGAAACATCATCACCCGTGAGGATAGTAAATTATTACTGAGTTCTGTTGTGTTCTCACTGCAGTCTAAGCATGATGCTGATTTAGCACTCCCAGCAGCAGTGTGCAGTGGGAACAATTATCTCTGTCCTGAAGATAGGGCACTCAGTTTACATATCCTCCTCAGTAACCCACCTGGCCCCTGAAAAGGCCAGCATCTGAACCCAGATCTATGAGTCCCATTACTAACTCGTATGTTGTTACAATAATCTTAGTAACGAAAGTAGCACCTGACGTTTGCAGAGCATTTACCAGGTGCCAGGCACTAAGTGCTTTACATGTGTCCATCTCATCTTCACAACCGCTACTATATTTTATCATTTGTACCCCACTTCACACATGAGGAACCAGGCTGAGAGGTTGAATGATTCACCCAAAGTCATTCAGCTGGTAACTTAGGACTGCGGGATCAAAGCCATCACTCCTGGGCCGGTACTCTCATTCTTTCAGCCACACTGCATCTCTCACAAGCAATGAGATGCTTAAACCTGAGCCACATTCAGGGAAGAAGAAGAAGAGGGAGAAAAGGGAGCCCTAGCCTGCACAACAGGCTTGCTGCGGTAACGCACTTGATCGTTCTAAAGTAAGAGAAAAGAGTCAGTTGCGTTTTCCCCAGGAGCTTTCTGCTCATCTGTCTGGATACCAAAGTATGAAGATTTATCCTACTTGTAACACATTACTCTTTATCTTTTACTGTGCCTGGGTAAAAGAGACAAAGGTTATCAGATAATGCTTTTTCTGAAGAGCTGCCTTTTCCACCTTTACTGTGAACTGGTGACTTTAATAACAGCGAGCTTGAAGGTAATTGGTGTGACTGGACCCACTGATCCCCTTTCTCCCTACTTACTTCTTGTGTACTGAAGATTGTAAAAGACAAAAACAGAAAGATGCAACAGAAAAGGTAGATTTTTGTTTTGTTTTAAAAGTATTTTTTAATGCTTATTTATTTTTGAGAGAGAGAGAGACAGAGACAGAGCATGAACAGAGGAGGGGCAGAAAGAGAGGGAAACAGGGGTGCCCGGGTGGCTCAGTTGGTGAAGCGTCTGACTTTGGCTCAGGTCATGATCTCATGGTTTGTGAGTTCAAGCCTCGCATCGGGCTCTGCGCTGACAGCTCAGAGCCTGGAGCCTGCTTTGGATTCTGTCTCCCTCTCTCTCTGCCCCTCCCCTGCTCACGCTCTGTCTCTCTCTGTCTCAAAAATAAATAAACATTTAAAAAAAATTTTTTAATAAAAAAATTTAAAAAAAGAAAGAGAGGGAAACACAGAATCTGAAGCAGGCTCCAGGCTCTGAGCTGTCAGCACAGAGCCTGGCATGGGGCTTGAACTCATGAACCATGAGATCATGACCTGAGCCAACGTCGGATGCTTAACCGTTGTTTTTAATGATTGTATTTTTTCCGCCAAGTGTTAAAAAATTTTTTTTCCGCTCAATTCCAGATTGATTCTCTTTGAGGCTCTAATTCTTAAAAGGAAGGAGAGTAGCAAGGATGATATTTGGAGCTGTCATTCAAGGAGATGAGAATGCTACAATACGGATTTCACCAGGGTCACTGGATAAAATTAAGATGTCGTTAATGATGGGCTGTTATATTAGAAGCTGGGACTCTTACCTAAATAAGTGTTGATGGCTTGTGAAATATCAAAGGACTCATACCTAAGTAAAGGTTGTGGGGCTGAAAATCAAGTATATTTAAGAGCTAGTGAGAATTACAAAGAAAACCAGAGATGTAGTTACTCTTTCTGCAAACTTGCAATGTATCATAGAGCAAGATATAAATATGTGAAAATTACATCACAATAGTCTGTTAAAAAACAGTTTTATCCAACAATAGGAAGTGTTTCAACCACATAATTATCCCTCTGTCATTGATCCCTCATCTGAAAATAACTTCCAGGAGCAGGAAATCAGCTTCATTCATTGAAGTGTTCCCAGTGCCTAGAACAGTGGTGTCTTTGGTAGGTGCTTTGCGAGTATTGACTGTGTGAAATTACTGAAGTGATAAGTGTGTGTGTGCTTGGGCAGGAAGCACAGTAAGGGAGGTGGTGGTTAGTAGAGGGTGGGACCCCCATGCTGTGGGGCTTATGCCGCAACTTCATGGAGGATGAAGGACTTCAGACGAGTTTGAAGAGTGGACACTGGACGGGCAGACAGAAGGCGGGAAGCATTTGGATGGGCACGCGGGCACAAACAAATGAGAAACCATGGAGAAGAGGAAGGTGTTTTGCGGATTGCATGAGAGCTGTTTTGTTTGCTCCGAGAGGTGAGTTGTATAGGAGTAGGGAGAGCGAAGTCCAAAGCTGTCCGGTAGGGCACACAGGTGCCTGCAGATTTATCCCAAGCGGGGAGAGGAGGTTTTGAACTGAGGGCTGGCCTGAGACAGGCAGGGGTTTGTGTGACTGGTGGTGTCAGAGAAAGAGCCTGGGGGCTTTGAGGCTACCAGGGGTTATGAAAGCAATAGAGAGATTTAGGGGATATTTAAAAGGAAAAATCCACAGAAGGCTTTTTTTCTGGATGTTGTAGAAAAGAGAAAAGACTGAGCTGGCTGAAAAAGGGTCAAGTCCAGGGGACTGAAAAAAAATGGTATCACCTAGGAGAACCAGACAGACAGGATCGGTGTGCCATACGTGTTAGGGTGACTTCAGATTAACATCTTCGCAGGCACCTCAGTGTCACTTTTGAGGTGATGAGAAAGGGGTAGAGACTGGGTATTCCAAGCTCCCCATTTTCCTATGAAGTAAGGGCAGGGGTGTATAAATGGTAGAAAAGAGAAGGTAGATAAGCATTCTGCTAGTCGGGATTACCTTTGAACCCACCTGTGGAACCAGAACTCTTCCTCTCATTCAGTGGCTACTTCGGGGGTTTCCCACAATGGGCCGTGCACCTGACCACACAGTTTTCCCCCTGGGGTGCCTGCAGCTCCATAGGGGACACAGACATCAGTCAAATAATTACACAAATAAATGAGAAATTATAAATACAACACATGTACGGAGGCAAAAGATGTGGGGACTGAGAGGGCACGTAATGGCACATAATATAATGTCCTATTCAGCCTCAGAACGTTGGAGAAGGTCTTATCAGGAAGTGCTATTGTGTGGACTTGAGGAAAGAATTCCTGCTAGCACAGAAGTCCCCCTTCTTGCCTTTTACCAACTGAAGAAATCATGTGAAACACTTTCTCCTTATGGACTCCAGATTTCTGTCCCCTGCCCCATTCCCCTCCCCACCAGCCCCAGAAGCACACAAAAAGTCGGAATCAGTTCTTTTCCCTAAAGGATTCCTTTATTGGTCTTTTGGCAACAGCGTATTAAAATAGAAGTTTTCAGATGTTAGGGGATTTAAAACATGGTTTTTTTTTAAATTTTTCTTTTTTTTTCAACATTTATTTATTTTTGGGACAGAGAGAGACAGAGCATGAACGGGGGAGGGGCAGAGAGAGAGAGGGAGACACAGAATCGGAAACAGGCTCCAGGCTCCGAGCCATCAGCCCAGAGCCTGACGCGGGGCTCGAACTCACGGACCGCGAGATCGTGACCTGGCTGAAGTCGGACGCTTAACCGACTGCGCCACCCAGGCGCCCCTAAAACATGGTTTTTAGTTAAGTCCCTCTACATATTTGCTCCTCATCAGCCGTTACCAACAGGAAAAAAAAATGGTTGAAAAATACTGCCTGGAAGGAGTTGCCTACCACTTTCTAAGAATACGACTCACTTAGAAGCAGAATTGGTTTCCTTTTCTTTTCGGAGTTTCTCATTTCCTTTTCTGCTACCCCACAGGGATGAGCTCTTCCGCCAAAGCTTGGCAAAACTTCGCGAGCAGCTTGTGAAAGCCAATACCTTGGTAAGGGAGGCAAACTTCTTAGCTGAGGAAATGAGCAAGCTCACTGACTACCAGGTGACTCTGCAGATCCCTGCTGCAAACCTCAGTGCCAACAGAAAGGTAAGAGTGCTTCAAAAAAAAAAAAGAGAGAGTAAAATGTACCACAGTACGTACTATAAGACAGCAGACAAACCTGACACCCTAAAGAACATCTGTGAGGGGCACCTGGGTGGCTCAGTCGGTTAAGCATCCGACTTCGGCTCAGGTCATGATCTCGTGGTCCGTGAGTTCGAGCCCCGTGTCGGGCTCTCTGCTGACTGCTCAGAGCCTGGACCCTGCCTCGGATTCTGTGTCTCCCTCTCTCTCTGACCCTCCCCCGTTAATGCTTTGTCTCTCTCTGTCTCAAAAATAAATAAACGTTAAAAAAATTAAAAAAAAAAAATCTGTGAGGAGATGCTGATATGAGCCAGAGTATTTATTCTTTTTAAGACTTCCTATCTACTAATATAACATTGTATGTCAACTCTACTTCAACAGTAAAAATTAAAAAAAAAAAATTTCCTCTATAGACCCCCCCTCGAGTAAATATGCCCTTAGATGTGTTAAAACTAGAAATATATATAAGTAATTCCTCTTTTCTCTGTCGTGTAAATGCCCCCTTCTGGAATGGGGGGATAGGTGCCAATTTCAGAAAGGATTCTACAAGAAAGGAAGGCTTGTTGGGGTATCTGGGTGGCTCAGTTGGTTGAGCGTCTAACTTGGGCTCAGGTTATGATGTCACAGCTCGTGAGTTCGAGCCCCGCGTCGGGCTCTGTGCTGACAGCTCGGGACCTGGAGCCTGCTTCGGATTCTGTATCTCCCTCTGTCTCTGCCCCTAACCCACTCGCATTCTGTCTCTGTCTCTCTCAAAAATAAATAAACATTAAAAAAAATTTAAAAGAAGAAAGGAAGGCTTGTATAATACCTTTTTTCTGTGCACAGAATGACTCTTTGCAGCCTTTGGGAGGTTTCCTGTCATTTCAACTCGAAGAATATTTCTTTTAAGGAGAAACTTCAAAAGACAATAATTTTGCATCCATTTATGTTTCCCCTGGCAAGCAAGCTAGAAACGAGTCAGGAAGGATTTCATTACTCTTTCTGCATTTTAGTACTTTGACGAAGCAGTTCTTTGAGAAATTTATGCTAAGTCCATAGTCATAGAAATATTCATAAAGAGGGGCACCTGGGTGGCTCAGTTAAGCATCTGACTTCTGCTCAGGTCATGATCTCACAGTTCATGAGTTTGAGCCACACATTAGGCTTGCTGCTATCAGAAAAGAACCCGCTTCATATTTTCTGCCCCTCGCCCCTCTCAAAAATAAACTTAAAAAAAAATTCATAAAGATCATGCGCTTTTTATACAAGGATGCTTATCATAATGGCCTTTATAATAGCAAAAATTTAAAATAGTCATGATGTCAAACAATAGAATAATCGATCAAACCAGTGTGCATCCATAAAATAGATTTCTATGTTTCCATTAAAAATTGTGTCTGTGAAGAATATTTAATAGCACAAGAAGGTGATCATAAGATAAAAACTGTGGAGGGAGGATCGGGATAGGAAATTTAGTTTTGTTTGGTTCTGATTATGATAAAAAAAAACAAACAAACATGCACGGGTATACCTATAGAAAATGGAAAATAAGCCAGAATATTCCCTCTGTGGTAGAATTTCATCTTCTTTCTGTATATGTTTTCTTCACACTCGCTGCTTTCTAATAATATATATTGCTGTAACAATCTAAGAAGTCATAACAAGACTTCATTTGGTTTCATTTGATTTGTTGTTTTTGTTTCCTTCATTCTGCAGAGAGGAGCAATCGTGAGTGAGCCAGCTATCCAAGTGCGGAGGAAAGGAAAGAGCACCCAAGTTTGGACCATCGAGAAGCTGGAGAATAAATTAATTGATATGAGAGACCTTTATCAAGAATGGAAGGAAAAAATTCCTGAGGTAAAAGAGACAAAATGGAAAGGAGATTGGGCCATGTTGAAAGCACAGAGTGTAAGTGATTTCACCATCAGAACGCACACATGCATGGCGGTGAATTTCTGTAGTCAAGCTTTGGACATCGATATTAGAAAAGTAATGTTGGGACACCTGCATGGCTCAGTCAGTTAAGCCTCCAACTCTTGATCTCAGGATCATGAGTTTGAACCCTGTGTTGGGCTCCATGCCCAGCATGGAGCCTACTTTTAAAAAAGGCAGGGCAGGGTGGGGGAAGTAAAGGAATGTAGAAGTGATCTTGAAAAAACTTCTAAGTTAGATGTTGGATCAGTCATAAAACATGTGATCCCCACACGGACAGAAACTAAATGAAGAGAACACATAACATGTTCTTATTTGGCTGCATTTTTGCTACATTCCAGGTGATATGAAATGGAACGAAGTAAGTCCGTGCTGTTTTGTCAGTGTTGTGACAAATCCACACGGATGGAGCCAGGTTGGATTTTTGTATTCATTAGCATATGTTCTGGCTCCCCTAGCTGTGATAATGGCTGGGGAGATTACGAAGAATAATTTTAAAAAGCACAATCCATTTTTTGGATGCTAGTAATGGAAAAGACGACTCGTGAAGGAAATGAGACAAAGCACAGGGAATGGAATGAAAAAGGCTATATGTGGGGTGTGATAGGGAAGACGAGGGTGTAATTGAGCAAGAGCCCCTCCTATATGCTACTTTTATTTATGTGACATGATTGTAATTTTTACTTCTTTTTAATTTCTCTGGATAAATGCTTTCTTCTTAAATCATTTTTGGGTGCTAGTTTTAAATAATATTATTCAAGTTGATATTTTGTTTCTTACTGGCTCCCCACCTGCCTACCCTACCCATCAGGCAAAGCGTCTCTATGGGAAACGAGGTGACCCTTTCTATGAAGCCCAAGAGAATCACAACCTAATTGGCGTGGCTAATGTGTTCTTGGAGTGTCTCTTCTATGATGTGAAACTTCAGTATGCAGTTCCTATCATCAGCCAGCAGGGGGAGGTAAGGACAAGCCAGCCTGGGAGGAAATTGACCGAAGTGGAAGGGAGTGTGTGTGTGTGTGTGTGTGATTTAAGTGATGCTCTTGAGGCAGATCTAGGGTGAATATCAGGATCATACTCTTTCTTCTCTACTAATATCAATAGAAACTCTCAAGATTAAATCATGGTTTTAAAAGATATTCATACCCATTTTTTAAATTTATGGTTCACAAGTTTTTTTGATTTTTGTTTTAATCAAATTAGAAATATTTTGGAAACCAGCTTCCACTCTGTTGCCATGTTCATCTCTCTTTTAATCTCTTACCTTTGTGATACATCCGAGTTCCTTCTCAGCCCCTATGTGGTCTTCACCAGATAGAACTTGGGAGCAAGTTGTAAATAAATAAACTTAAAAAAATAAATAAAAATGTGTTGATTCTCAAAAAATATTGAAAAAAAGCTTGAGAACCCACCTTACCTTTGAACTGATTTCTCCCATTTCCCCTTTCTCCCTCCTCTAACGGATTCCTCCATATTGGTCTCACTTGTCCAACGCCATCAGCTAATTTCTCTCAGGTGCTTGGTGCCAGTGCCAGTTGCTGTGTGGAGGTTGGGTCCGTGCTACTTTCACAGTGGAGCCTCACGATTTAAGATGATGGCAGCACTGTCCCCTTCATGACTCCAGCCATTGCAGCCTTGACCTGTGTCATGAAACATAACTTGGGCTAGTTGTAGCACTCTGAGGGAGCAAATTCTTGTCCTTTAATTCAGTTCTGTGCCAACAAGTGTAAGAGAGGCACCACTAAACTGGCACCTCTCCAGAGAACCACCAGGATGTTGAAGAAATTGTAAGCCTTTGTGGTTCCTCCTGGGATAGGTCTCACTCCCCCTGCTCCAGTGTGAGTTACCCACCCATTGAAGAGAGCAGACGCTCCGTGAGCCTGGTGACCACGTCTTTTGGCTTATTGCGATAAATGCAGTGCTTAGTAGCACAGTTCGGGGCATGCAGCCGATTTCTGGGTGAAGTTGTCTCATAACAACCCCCACGTGTATCTCTACTACTTGTTTCGGTATTCCAACTGGGCAGGGATTAGGTCAGATGAACGAATATACGAACATGGAAAATAGACAACTCCAGGTAGGATATGATAGCTGTCTTTACTCTGTTCCTGGGCTGCCTGTAAAGGATAAGAGTGAAGATGACTCCAGAAGGCAAGTGGCAGAGAAGCAAATTTGGCTCAGAGTCAGGCAGGGTGACTGCAGGGGGTGAGAGATGGACTGGACCGGCTGTGGAAGGGGTGAGTTTCCCATGGCAGTAGGGGCGGGGCCGCTCACCTGCTCACCTGGGAGGTGGCTGCGTGCTCTCTGTCCAAGGTCAGGTTCCCCGCTGGATGCCTATTAACCCGCAGGCGCTCTGGTTCCTGCCGCAGGTTGCAGGGCGCCTCCATGTGGAAGTCATGCGAATTACAGGGGCCGTCCCGGAGCGTGTGGTGGAGGACGACTCTTCTGAGAACTCCAGCGAAGGTGGGAGCCTCGAGGTCACGGACATCAGCGGGGAGACTGTTCACCGAGTCAAGAAGCTGACTTGCCGGGTGAGGGGACGATGAGATGGACGGGTGCAGAGGAATGACCTTGTTCATGCCAAACAGTTTTGTTTTTCATAGAGCATTGTAAATGTTAACCTTCCTAACCGTAAATACAACGGTGGGCAGTACTTTCTCCAGAAGTATAGCACCCTTTCTGGTGACGCTTGATGAGATTTGAAAAGTCCATGTGTATTGGGGGCACCTGGGTGGCTCAGTCCGTTAAGCATCCGACTCTGGATTTCGGCTTAGGTCATGATCTCACGGTTGGTGGGATTGAGCCCCACGTTGGGCTCTACGCTGACAGCTCGGAGCCTGCTTGGGTTTCTCTCTCTCCCTCTCTGCCCCTCCCCCTCTCCCTCAAAATAAATAAATAAACTTAAGAACATTAAAAAATAAAAGTCCATGTGTATCTGGCATGCGGGGGGTATGTATTGTTCAGTGAATCCTGCTTTTCCAATATAGGTTGCATCAAAAACTCAGTCACTAGGAAAATGTTGGAGGTGTGTGCCTTTGCCAGGTTTACACATGGTAGTTGTGGTATTCTGGTACAGATTTGTTGTAGGCGGAACCCTTGATGAAAGGATGCCAGATATTTTCAGATACCAAATGGATAACCGATTTATGTAGCTCTTAAATTTGAAGAGCTCTTACATTTGAAGCAATGCACAGTTTAATGTTTCTTTATGGGAGTTATATTGCCTTTTTTTTTTTTTTTATATCTCTTCAGGTAAAAATTAAAGAGGCAACCGGGCTGCCCTTAAGCCTCTCAAATTTTGTCTTCTGTCAATACACATTCTGGGACCAGTGTGAATCCACAGTGGCTGCCCCAGTGGTGGACCCCGAGGTGCCTTCCCCCCAATCCAGGGATGCCCAGTACACTGTGACGTTCTCTCACTGTAAGGTATGGGCACCATGAGGAAACGAGCTACACGGGAGGCAATGGACCTGGGTGCGGTTCAATACATAGAAGTTTCCCTGTAAGAATGTTTAGTAAATGTAATATGTGTCTTGGACTTTTTAACCTCAAAATGTATTTCGGTACAAATTCCAATAATTTAAAAGTATTTAAAATAAAATCTGAAAGGCCTCTACCTGAAATCTTACACCCTATGCCCTACAACTTTTATATGTGTGTGGTCAATGCATGTTCACACAAAAATGGGCATAGATACACTCTTACCATCACGCACGCATAACTTCTTTAAAAAGTTTTTTACAAAAACTGTGGTCATATTATACATGTTGCAGAATTGCACCTTTTAATTTAATTTTGTTTTGTTTTATTTTATTTATTTTTTAAGTAGGCTTTACACCTAGCATGGAGCCCAGTGCAGGGCTTGAACTCACAACCCAGAGATCAAGACCTGAGCTGAGATTAAGAGTCAGACGCTTAACTAACTGAGCCACCCAGATGCCTCCCACTTCATTATTTTAATTTATATGAACTTCTCAACATGCAAGTTGCTGTAGATATTTTAATTCTTTTGAATATGGAATAGCCTTTTGTTTTTGTTTATGTTTTTGTTTTTTTAATGGCATAGTGTTTTAAGCATAGCATTTCCAATGTGGCATATGAGTTTTTAAAGAAAATGTAAATGGACAAGGTGAATTTTTGGTGACTGTTGGCTATTCCCATCTTGTGACCATCACCTACCCTTCCTGGCTTTCACATCAGACTGCCAACAGGTTGTTTTTGACAGACAGACTCTCTTCTGTGTAATTTTGTTTTTCCTTGCACAATCCTTAACAAATACTCCAAACCCCTTCCTTTGGAAATTGCGCGTTTTCTTTCTGGTTCTATACCTATCAAATTTCACATAAGTAAAGACTGTCAGGTCTTTCTTTTTCTGAAAATAAATGGCCCACTTTTTTTTCCACCTGTATTCACCCAAGTCTGTTTCTGAAAACCCATATTAATTATTTTTTTTGTTATTTGTGTCTGAATACTCTTAAATATTCCCCATCTTTCTTTGGATCCACAAAGCTATTCATGTAGGAGTATGAAACCTGAATTTTAAGTACATTCTGGTTAACAACTGGTTTGAGAAACACTAGTCTCAGGGACCTTGGATTCACTGCGTGACCTTGGGGTTTTTTTCATAAATAAAATGTGTAGGTTGGGGTGCCTAAGTGGCTCAGTTGGTTGAGTGTCTGACTCTTTATTTCAGCCCAGGTGATGATCCTAGAGTCATGGGATCGAGCTGCAAGTTGGGTTCCACACTGAGCATGGATCCTGCTTGGGATTCTTGCTGTCTCTCTCTCTCTCCTTCTGCCCCTCCCTCACGCACACATGTATTCTCTCTCTCACTCTCTCTCTCTCTCTGTTTCTCTGTCTCTTAAAAAAAGAAAAAGAAAGAAAGGAAACCTATGTTTGAAAAAAAAATAAAATGTGTAGATTGTACTAATTGATCGTTAGTTTGTTTTCCTTCTAAAATTCTGGTTCTGTCTCCAAATAAACTAGATAAGAAGGTAAGTAGTAGAACATTAAGTCAGTATAGCACAGGTCTTTCTAGAAAGTAGAGCCACAGGGTTGTCTTCACCTGAGGTTTCACTGAGTTGTTGCTAGAAAGAAGCATGGCTTGGTCCCTTGCCTGCCACAGCATTCAGGGTGATCTACCTCTCAGCCCACTCGGCATTCATGCCCTCACGCTCCTCTGTCTGCATTTTATGATGAGGAATCAGAGCAGGAGAGTTTGAGAGCAAGAGCACAGACCCATGAAAATAATCATACGAAATTTAATTCTGTTCTTAGTCTCCCACGCCATCACAAGGAGCAATCAGATGTTCTTTTTTTATGATGTGCTGATTAGTCCAAGGCAGCAGGAGATCAAGTGGTCCTTCAGAACCCAGAATGAACCCGGTGTAAGGAAGCAAGGATTCACTTCTGCATCTCACAAGCTCTATGACATGGGACAGGTTGCTTTCTTCAGTGTCCGCATTGCCTAAAGAAAGGAATTGCATTAAATCACCTCTTCCTGCCCCTTCCAGAACTAATGTTCTGGTTCTTGAAAACCACACAGGTGGTTTTAAGGTTGGGATCAGACTAACAACCTCCAAAGTGAATCTCTATGAGGCTAAAAGGCAAAATGGAAATTTCACCCAATTGCTTTATGCGTGATCCTTGTCACTCTTTCCTTGCTTCCGCTTATCCCAGGACTATGTGGTGACCGTGACAGAAGAGCTCCTGGAGTTCCTATCAGATGGAGCCCTGGCCATTGAGGTGTGGGGCCACCGCTGCGCTGGGAACGGCAGCTCCATCTGGGAAGTCGACTCTCTTCATGCGAAGACAAGAACGTTGCATGACAGGTTTGTACTTGGCTGAGCTGGGTGCAGGGTCAAGGCTGGCACTAACATGGAGGCTAAGAGCAGGGGTCCCGAGGCCTGTGTCCTCCTTTGTGAAATGGGAACGATTAAAGGGACTAGCAGTCATTGAAGACATTCAATGTGGGGAAAGGCAAATCCTTTTGAGAAACAGGACTAAAACAGCTGCGTTCCTACCTGGGGAAATAAAACCAGCCTTGGGGGTGCCTGGGTGGCACAGCTGGTTAAGCATCCGAATCCTGATTTCAGCTCAAGTCATGATCTCGCGGTTCATGAGTTCGAGCCCCGCGTCAGGAGCCTGCTTGGGATTCTCTCTCTCTCTGCCCCTCCCCTGCTCATGCTCTCTCTCTTTCTCAAAATAAATAAATAAAACTAAAAAGAAAAAAAGAAAATCTATATGACATACATAGCACAGTGCCCAGCCCATAGAAAGTGCTCAGTGGATGCTGACTCTTTTCCTGTTACTCACAACGTCCCTGGGCAGTGACACCGTTGTTCATGGGAATGTGATTTTGCAGGTGGAATGAGGTAACTCGAAGAGTAGAAATGTGGATTTCCATATTGGAATTGAACGAGCTAGGGGAATACGCTGCAGTGGAACTCCACCAGGCCAAAGATGTCAACACAGGGGGCATCTTTCAACTCAGACAGGTACCCGGCTTGTTTTTGTCTGTTTCGTGTGTCCTTTTTCGTCCCACTCGTAACACACTGTTTCTGGGAGTTTTCTAATTATCTGCCTCTGTGTTCCCCATTCCTCTTCCCTCCATCCCTCACTGTTCCCATCCCTGGTGCCCACTGCTGCGTCGCGCCCCTCCCATCCCACCCCCGACCTCTGCAGGGCCATTCCCGGAGGGTACAAGTCACAGTGAAACCGGTGCAGCATTCAGGGACACTGCCGCTCATGGTGGAAGCCATCTTGTCTGTGTCCATTGGCTGTGTCACTGCCCGGTCCACCAAGCTGCAGAGAGGGCTGGACAGTTACCAGGTAAGACAAGCCGAGCTGAAGCGGTATTTAACGAAGATTGGTTCATGAAGAACTAAGGCAGTCGGTGAATGTGACAGAACTCCTTGCCTTGACCTTATGTCTGCACCCTTCCCCTCACATTTGCATCCTTTTTACTAGACTTAAAATACTATATTGGTTTTGTGTTGATTAATAATAATTTTATTTATAAGCACACGTATGAATGCTATCTTACGCATTTACTTTAGGTGGATTTTATATCTGGCCCCGGTTATGTTATGTCGGGTATTTGGCATGGCTGCCTGGCCTGATCCACTTTTGTTACTATAAAATCGCCCCCATACACAGGCATAATTAAACAGTTCTTTGAAAGCCTTCTTTTTTTTTCTTTATTTAAATTAGAAGTTGTCCTCACGATCGTTTTTGTCCATTAAATCCCCCCTTACTAAATCTTCTGTTCTCTTTTTTAAAAATTAAAAGATAGGAGGGCCCCTGGCTGGCTTTGTTGGGGGAGCATGCAACTCTTGATCTTTGATCGTGAGTTCGAGCCCCACCTTGGGTATAGAGATTACTTCTAAAAATAAATTTAAGGGGCGCCTGGGTGGCTCAGTCAGTTAAGCCTCTGACTTTGGCTCAGGTCACGATCTCACAGTTCATGAGTTTGAACCCCACATCGGGCCCTGTGCTGACAGCTCAGGGCCTGGAACCTGTTTTGGATTCTGTGTCTCCCTCTGTCTCTGCTCTTCCCCTGCTTGTACTCTGTCTCTCACTCTCTCTCTCTATCTCTCTCTCTCTCTCAAAAATAAACAAACATTAAAAAAAGATTTAAAAAATAAATTTAAAAATAAATATTTATAAAAAGTAAAAGATGTGAACATCTAAGAATTGGTCTTCTTACTACCAATCACAGCTCTCATCACTCCTTGAGAACAAACTTTCAGATCAGGAAATTGCCCCCAGTGGCCTGAGAGCAGGCCTGTGCTTCACTCAGTCCGCAGTTTACAGGCGGGTATGAATTAGGAACTGGAAGAAGCCACCCATGCAACTCTGGCTTCCTGTGAGCCACATGTGACTGGGAGCACTCCCTGTTGTAACAGAAGAAAACGTTTCTCTGTGGGGTCTGGGCAGAAGCCGCCCATCTGGAGAATGATCCACCTTTCATCTCAGCTTCCTTCAGTTCCCTGGCTGGCATTCAGGCGGAGACTTCTCTGAAAGCTCAAAGGAACATTGGCAGGGTGCCTGGGTGGTTCAGTCAGTTAAGCGTCTGACTCTTGATTTCGGCTCAGGTGATGATCTTACTGTCCGTGAGTTTGAGCCCCATGCCGGATTCTGCACTGACAGTTCAGAGCCTGCTTCAGATCCTCTGGCCCCCTCTCTCTGCCCCTCCCCCACTCACTCTCTGTCTCTCCCTCTCTCAAAAATAAATAAACATTAAAAAACCTCTTTATAGGGGCGCCCGGGTGGCTCAGTCGGTTAAGCGTCCGACTTCGGCTCAGGTCATGATCTCACGTTCCGTGAGTTCGAGCCCCGCATTGGGCTCTGTGCTGACAGCTCAGAGCCTGGAGCCTGCTTCAGATTCTTTGTCTCCCTCTCTCTCTGACCCTCCCCCGTTCATGCTCTGTCTCTCTCTGTCTCAAAAATAAATAAACATTAAAAAAATTAAAAAAAATAAAACCTCTTTATAAAAAAATAAAATATAAAAGGAACATTGGTTTGGATGACTAGGCCTTAAGGAAGGCAAAGCTTTGTCAGACATCGCCTTCCCTTTCCCAAGCCAAAATTGCCCCTGATTGTCAGAGCCAGGGAGACTATGGAGGAAGGCATAAGGACAGTCTGCTGTTTGAGGGGAGGCTTCTCCCACAGACTTTTCCTCATGTGTGGTGTAGGAAACTGGCTGTGGATTCTTGTCCCAGCTCAGTCCCTCCCTCAGGCCATCAAATTTGGGGGTGGCTACAGGGCCTGGTAGAAAGGTCACTGGCCTGGAGTGGGGGGATCTGGATTCTTAAGTCTAGCTTGGCCTTCTTGGTCACCTTGTTGAAGTAACACAAACCTCCAGTTCCTTTTTTGTCTTCTCCAGAATGATGAAGTAGACCTAATAATTCCCTGGGATCCCCGTCTGTAGTAAAGGCTTAGTAGTAAAGGCTTAATAAATCTCTGATCTTAGATAAAACATTGAATCTGTGTCCTAAATCATGACCTATAAAATAGGGGGTCATCAGTTGACTGAAGGTTCCTATTTGAGAAACCTCGTAAGCATTGATTATTTGCACTTTTAATACATCTCTAGTGGGGCTCCTGGGTGGCTCAGTTGGTTGAGCATCTGACTTCCCCTCAGGTCATGATCTCACAGTTTGTGAGTTCAAGTCCCACATCAGGCCCTGAGCTGACAAGGTGGAGCCTGCTTGGGATTCTCTCTCCCTCCTTCCCTCTCTCCT